GCATTCAAACTGTTCAGAATCCTGCAGGGCTCATCCTTCTGGGGCAGGACAATAAATACGGTTGTCAAAGACCAGAGTAACCCAGAAATTCCAGCTGCATGTTGGAGAATTTGGGTTAAAGGGTGGATGTGAGGGAGCTTTTCTGCTTCCTAATGCACTTGTGGAGCTGAAGTAGAAGCAGATTAATGGAGCTGACACTCCAGTGCTCTCAGTTGTGCTCGTGTGGCAGTGGAATGTAGAAGCAGAATCAGCCTGTAGATGCACCCTGGAATTTCTGAAGGATGGGGGTTACCATGGATACATACACTCAAGCCACCACAGACTGGTGTGAATGCAAAGCTCTAATTTTTGTCTCATTGCAGGAGGATTTGTTCTGATAAGAAACTTGTGCTGCCGCTGTTTCTCCTCCCCCTCCCATTTGTTACTGAAGCAGTACAACTCAGGGTGTTGTGTGTGGTGCTGAGGGAGGATTCTGACCACGTTGCTCTCTCTGCTGCCCAGGGTTGGCATTTTCACCCGCCAGAGAAGGTTCACCTGAGCGTTATTTTGAATGAACAATGGAACTGATCCATTTTGGGTGCTGGCAATTCTTATGCTGTGACAAACCCTCCATTTTCACACTGCGAGTCAACATGAGTGTCCCTGTCCTTCCTTCCACTGCGGAGGGAGAGGTGTTTGTGGTGTAGAGCAGATAATGGGATAGAAATAAGTTAGAGGGGGAAATACCAGGAAGTTTGTTGAGTTCAGGGCTAGTGTGCTTTTCCAACAAGTTGGAGTCCCAAGGGGGCTTGATAGGAGGAAATACTTCTTTGAAATGTGCAGAGAATTGGTATTGGGAGCAAAAGGGCTCCTGAAGATGTGTGGGAAGAGAATTTAGTCTCTGAATTCCTACTGTAATTCTGAAAACTTGCCCTTTCCTCACTGCCTGCCTTGCTCTTGTGTAAGCTGCAGCACCAAGGAAGGGTGAGAAGGGCTCTCATCAGTTCCATGTCCCTCTGTTCTCTGTTCAGCTATTGAATTGCTTACAGCACAGTCTGCAGTTACACCTGGAGATGGATCCAAGCACAGGTATCCCAGGAGAAGCCCCAGCTCTGCACCAGGCAGTTCCCAGCATGGGCGGGTCTGGCCCTTGTGGGATCCTGCCCGTGGCTGTGACCCAGCTGTGACCCAGCTGTGACCCAGCTGTGACCCAGCTCCCGTGGGGGAGCAGCCACAGCCCAAATGTTGGAGTGCCCTGGTGGCCCAGCCCCAGGAGTGTCTGTGCCAGCCTGGAACACAGCCATGGGTTTGTGTTTCATGGGGCAACTCTCACCATTTCAATGATGCTTCACTGCTAGAACTGATGTCTGAATCGAGGAATTCAAACGGTGAAGCACATGGAAGAGTGTTACTAAAATACTCTGGCTGATGTTGATAGTGTTGCTGCTTCTGGAAATGTTTCTTCTTGACCCAGCAGAAAGCTGCTGGAGTCCTGCTGTTCCTCGCTGTATTTCTGGCTTTCTCTGAGTTCAGTTGATGCTGACTTGGCTGGTGTACACTAAATAGCCAGATCCTCATGCTCTCCATTCCTGCTGTTGGCCTGTGAGGCTGCACTCATTAAACATAAATAATATAACAGCAGTAGTTCAGGTGGTGGAAGACCTACATTTGTGTCAGCTCCAGTGGAAGAAATGGAAGGAACAGAGGAAAAACCCCATGTCCATTTGTATCCCTGCCAAGGAGATGGTTTTATCATTATTTCAAATGTAATACAGACAGTTGGAATGTTTCCCCTGGCAAATGCCTTTGGGAGGATGCTGCTATAAAATATATTCTAGACCAGCTGATTGGTTATTACGGAAAATACAATTCCATAAGGACCCATAATTTTAGAAAGTGCTATCCCTGAGAATAATAGAGTGCCGTGGTTAGTAAATAATTTCCCATTAACCCTCACTATTCAGCTCTTGTTTGGTGAAATTACTAAAACTTTGCAGTTATTTTTTTTCCCTTTCAGACCCTAACAAGTCCTGAAGGGATAGCTTGATTAATGTGCTGACAACACCATTAACGGGCACTTAGGATCTGTGCTTTTTGTAAGCTGTGAGTGAAAATAGATGACTGTTGCTGTTTTCTCCTTTTATTAGTGAGCTGTTTTTCTCAATCTGCATGCTGCAGGACTCAGGTGGAGCTGATCATTTCTGTCTGCTCATCAGAACTGCTGCTCCCCACAACTTTTTATTTCTTTATTTGGAAATGAGTGATGAAGGTCAGGCTACATCCCCCAATAGGAGCGGTGTGAGCACACCTAACCTGGCTTGTGCAGCCTGTGTTTGCAAGGTTGCTGTCAGGAGTTACAAGTTTTAGGGATACTCGACTCCCTAGAAGTCAAGTCTTTGCCATAAATGAGTATGAATGGTTCTGAAAAATCACTGAGAACAGCTGAGTGTTCCCAATGAAATTGTAATAAAGCCTAGAGCATCACTTTATAGAATAAGCTGCCTATGGAGACACCTCTGACACACTGCCAGCTATTAGTGTTGTGCTACAGCTCCAAACCCCAAAGATTTTATCCACTTTGTAACATTTTGTATTGCCTCACTCCCACAAGATTTCCTTTGCGGAATTCCACTGAGTTTGTAACTTCAGTAGTAATTGACAGCAACTTGTTCCACAGATAACTCACGGGCTTCTTCAAAGTATTTTCTACCACCAGTTTCTCTTGAAAATCTGCTAATTTTATTGTGGTCTTGTGGAATTTGTTACATTTTTGCTGGTTTTGCAAAAAATGTGTTTGCAGTGGAACTGAGGACAGGATTTTGAATTGTTTTAAATTGATTGCAAAATTCAAGTTTCCAGAGAGCAAAAAAAGTGAATCAGTCTTTCAGTTCTCTCCTTAAGTGGAGATAAGTTTCTAGACAAAAAAAAGGAAAATTAGAGATTTACAAGTCCAAACTCTTACTGAATCCCTGGTGAGAACAGATAGTGTTTGCTCTTTGCATGTGTCCTTCTGCCTGAGCAGAGCACTGCACAAGTATTTTGGAGGGGAAGAGCTGCTCAGCTGTGAGTGTCTGAACTGGGAATGCACAAGCAAACCAGCAGTGTTGGTCCAGCCGGGAGCTGCAGACAGCCTGGCAGTGGCATGTGCTGGAAAGATCCTGGGTTAAAAAAAGAGATGTCCATAGGTTTTGCCATATTTTCATGTGATGTTTGTGTCTATTTAGCTTAGGATAGATACTGAGAATCAAAATCTTCCCATTCCAAGGACCTGTGGCCAAAGCAGCCCAGAGGTCCTGAATCCCTTGATTTAATTGGTTTCTGTCTCTGCTCAGAATCCTGGTGGCTCACCCAGCTCCGGCCGTGCCGTGTGGTTGTTGTTATGACAACTGTGCAGTTTGGTACCAGCATTGCTTTGCTGCTCGGTGTTCATGTCTGGGATGCCTTGGGAAAAGGTGGCAATCCTTCTTTATGAACTTATCCCAAACTGTGCTAGCCCTCACACAGACACACTGCCTCCAAACTGAGGGAACTCTCTTGTGCTTTAAACAAGTCCTCTTGACGTGCAATATGCACATCTGAAAGGTACATTAAGGCATATTGAAAAAGCTATTTAGTAGCAACGAGGGCTTTCCGTGTGCTTTTATGAATCGGAGGTGGGACCAGAATAGATACAAGCGCTTCAATCTATGCCCTAGCTTATCCTGCAGTTGTTTCCCTGTGCAGACAAGCCCTTCATACTGAATAAAGTTCAGGATTGGCAGTTTTCATGGGTGTGAGAGGCATTAAGGCACTAAGCTGTGTTAACCTGTTGCAGAAAGCTGTAGAGAAGCTCAACCTTCACCTCCCTTGTGTCCTCTCCTGTCTCCTGGGATTTACTGATGGTACCGACTGGTGTCACAGTGCTTTAGAGCTTTCAGGCGTGCTACCAGAGGGAACAGAGCCTCATATCCAGCGGGATTCTACCCTGAGCCTTGTCCTCATCTGCAGCCCTGGTTTGGAGAACACAAGGCAAATGAGAACTCGTGAACATGTGGAAGTTGGCCCATCCCACAAAATGAAATTAGCCATCAGACCTGATTTAAATATTTTGGCATATGCTGAGAGAAGCGAGAGTGACAACTTGCATAGTCCATGATCCTTGTTTTCAGCGTGGCTGCTGTGGAGCCGCTGTCCCTGTGCCCCGTGTCCAGCAGGCAGGTGAGAGCTGCTCTCTGTGCCAGGAAAGACAGGACGGGAGGGAGGCTCGGGCTGAGCCACGCTGGGAGTGGGGGTGCCAGGAGCCTTGGAGAATTCTTTCCTAGGAAGGGGTTGTTATTAGATTTCAAGGTTGAATTTGAAAGAAGACTGATGCCATGTTCTTGTGTGAGAGGCTGAGGCACACGCGGTGTGATCCTCCCGCTGTTTCCAGACTCCCAGCACAGGTCGGCAGCTGCTGGTTGGAGCCGCTCTCTGCTCACCCCCTGTGCTCCCACAGCCGGGACCTGCACCCAGGCAGGGCAATCACACAGCGCTGCACTTCCCGCCAGGGGGTTTGAGCTCAACAGGTTGCAAATGCATTAAAGCTCTGAATACCTTTCTGAAAAGAAGTGAAATGAGCAATTGTTGTTGTTTAACAGAGCAAAAAGGAAACAGGTTGTTAAATATTTGCACTAGGTGCAAACCTGGTGCTACTGGAAAACAGCTCTTACTCTCTCACTTGCTCTGTAGGCCAGACCATGTGTCTGGGTAGCAACTGTGAGGTTTGATGAATCACCATCCAAAGAATTAGAAGGTGTCATGATCTAATCATGATCTTAACAAGCCACTGAATATCTGCAAACAAAAGAAGAAACCACAGAAGTATTAGCCTGGAATGTTTTCCAGATGAAAGATATTACTGTTTGCTTGAGTGCAAATTATTACAGATTCTGAAGCAATAAAGAAGAAATTAATTGTTTTTAAAAATCTTTTTGTTTTCCTCTGTCAATTAAAATTTGTTCCATCGTATGGCTCAGTGTCTAACTAATTGCATTTCTTTTTAGGATAAGAAAATAATCAGTAAAGAGAATATGTAGAGAAGCACAATGATGTTTCATCTGTTCCAGATCCAAGATTCTTTCCTGGAGTCCAGGGGAAAGGTAGAGATCCTTTTTCCACCTTTATGCTTTTTTTAAGGACTTGAGTCATATCTACAAAAATCAAAATAGACAATTTTTCATAGATTTAGTGGGCTCAGAGCCATGTTCTTTTCAAAACCTTTTTCAAACTCTCCTTAAAGCTTCTAAGAAATGCCCCAGTAGTGAAGGGAATGAGTTTGGAGCTGAGTCTTCTAAAACTGACCTGGTTAACAAGAAGAAAACCATCAGTGTCATCCTGAATTTTGGTAATATTTTGCCTATTTCCTGCCCTTTCCTCATGAATGTGTAAAGTCATACATGATTTTGGGACATGGAAAGCTGAAAATTCATGTGAACTTACAATTAGTACAGTTGTAGATGAGATTAAAATTTAACAGGAGATGAAGTAATTTGTGTTCCTGTGAGTACACGTGGCTTGTTTGCCACTCCTCAGCCACTGTAAACTCTTTGTGGGGGTATTTTCCACTCCTCTATTTTGAATTGCAGTAAAGTGGAAAATATTTGAAATACTTCCTAAATTTTCAGTGGCTCCTACTGTAAGCAGAAAAAAAGGGGAAATAAAACTTCTTGAGCAAGAAAGATTTTGAACAGACCAGGCCTGCCACTGATTATCTTTCTTTCTGAGAGCAGGACTAACTTCTTATTCCCTAGAAGACTTAAAACCTTTTCCATGACCTTTGTTTTGTCTTTTATGAAAGTCAGTGCATTTTATTTTTATTGAAGTCCTATTTTTTTATCTCTTTAGAAAAAAAAACCCAAACAAACCACCACTGTCTCTCCTTCTGCCACAGAGGTGTCTAATTGTGACATTTCAGTTTATAAATGTGCTTAAATGTGTACAGCAAATTGATAATTTCACTTGTGTTTCTGTGGACAAGCTCTTTCATCTTACGCATGAAACCGAGGTGACTTTGAGGTGACTTTTTGAAGTCATGTGAAGATGCACCCTAAACCTCCACGAAAACAGCCTATTCCTGTTCCTTGGTCAAAGCAAGAGTGTCAGCAGGGAACTCTTTCCTACTCGCTTCATGTGCTCCTGGTGGATTCACTGCTTCTCCTGCCCACCTGAGCTGCCCCCAGGCTCCCTCTGTGCTGCACTGCAGCTGAGCTGGGGCTGTCCCTGCATCCCAGAGCCTCAGGCTATCCCTGCATCCCAGAGC